GTAAGTACATCAGTTCATGTTGCCATACCACATCAGCACAGAGATATAATTGTCAATTCAAGTCCAATAGTCGAAGAAGTAGTAATGGTATTAGAAGTAATCGGAGAGATTAGGATTAAAAGATACTATTCAAGAAGTATGATTCAGTGAGAAAAGTTTAGAGAGTCGAAACTAGAGGTGTTGAAGAATCCATAAGATTAGGATTTGAGAGAACACAAAGCATAAATGCACCGGCGCCATTGCGAACGATTTTGAGCCACGTCATTCAAGGTCTCTAACCATCGATTATTATCATCTCGCCGACCCCAACCAGGTAGTCGAAAACTATCGACATGGCTCAGTCCACTCGTCAATGACTTCATTGATTTCTGCCATGTTTTGGTTTGGCCGCCCCTAGCTTTCTTCCAACCTATTCCTACACTACAGAACAAAGCTCTTCGAGGCAGTCCGTGGTTAGGCATACGCAACACATGTCCCAACCACCTCAACTGATGAAGTTTCACCACTTCATCTATTGATCTGCCATTCTTACCTAGCACCCGATTCCTAATAGCAGCGTTGCTCACTTGAGTGTCCCAAGACATACGAGCAATGCTTCGGAGACACCTATGATCGAAAATCAGTAACCTACGAATATCTTTTACTCTCTTTGGCCATGTTTCACAGCCATAAAGTAAGACGGAACAAATACACAGCTATCCCCCGAAGGATCAGGATGCATTCGTTGGGTACGACCAAGTAGACAACGGTGGGAGTCGAAAACGTACCTCTAAATATAGTTGAGATCATGATTCAACAAATATTGCGAGCATAAAATGCCAACTTCCGCGAATTCGACATATTCCACTCACACCTTTTCAATGGTTTACTTACACTCAACAATATTTTTCGAATTAAGTGATCACTGAGAATTACTATACTGCATTAGCATATTTAGACTAATTATTACATTCTAGATGAGATGGCAAAAATCAACTGACCCTATCTATGACTGAAGATAACTTCGAACATTGCTCGGAATAGAAGTCATGAACATAGATAAACAAGAGCTGATAAATAAATCAATCAATTTGTCTTACTGGATTTTCATAATCACTGTTAATTACTAATTCACTAAGTTAATTGAATAAACATTTCACTTATTAAAATTGTCGGAACTAAAATAGAATTTCAAAATACTGAAATGATAGAAAATGCATATTGGAAATAGGTCATATGGTTATGATTCATTACAACGAATCAAACATAAGAACAAACAGTACTGCTTATAAAGTTATAAGGTAGTATGTATACAAATAATACTGATTATATTAATTGACCTTTTAAAGTTTTCGTCCATGCTTACTTGTCCTGATATAAATGGTAAGACGGATTATTAAAAAGAAATCAATAATAGAAAAGATAGATTTACTGATTTTGTTTGTATAACATAGAGGATATTGGTAGGTTACTAGTATTTGATCATTGGAGCCTTGGAAGCATAACTCCTATATCCTGGGACAACCGAGTAAGCAATGCTAGTGTTATGAAGAGGATACTGGGTAAGGATGGCAAACCAAATGAAGTAATTAATCTTTATCAGTTGGGGTGGTTGAGATATGTGCTACTCATGCTAAACCATCGGCCACCTCGACGAGCGATATTGTCTGATGTAGGGGCAGGCTGGAATAAAGCTAGGAGCTGCCAAACCAAAGATATGGCGCAAATGCATAAAGTCACTATCAAACTGGACTGAGCCATGTTCGTAGGTGTAGACTACGTGGTTGACGTACGCACAACGATAGTAAACAGCGGTTAGAGACTCCCAGTAACTTGGCTCAAAATCGTTTGCAATCGAACAGATGCATCCATTCTTTCGATTTATTTCACTAGGACATACTTCTCGAACCATGTCTTTGAATGCTAATCTTTTCTATTACCACAAAGTTCTATGTTGTAGTTGAGTGACTCAATCTTAGTTTGATATCCATCTGAAGGAGACAAATATCTGAATTCTGTGATGTAATCATCGACTTATTTCAAATGGTTCATTCAATTACCAGTGAAAACATATACACTTAATAATATCGAAATGTACCTACTTCGCTAAATACATAGTATGAAAACACATTTCATTTAAATCTCACAATTCACAAAATATTATCATTAGTACACGTTGCACAATATTCAATGCTTAAAACTAAACACATAATTATTCATAATAGCGAATCAATGTCCGTATTTCTGTAAACTTGACAAAAACTCAACTAGATTTGCATTATTTTTTTACAATACAAAATCCAAACTACTTACAAAAAACATAGATACATTGTATACTGATAAATCTGAATTTTCATGATTGTATTGTATGAAAAAATCTGTTACAGCTTTTTATGAACACTAGTGTAACATTATCGACCATAATTTTCACATGTTAAACAGTTAGATAAATGACATTAATCGCTTGATGATAAACTGTAACTAATTAGAATCTCTTTTAAGTAATTCCAACCTATCATTTATTAGAGGTCACTTTATGAACATGGTAATTCAGAATAACATGTTCATTGATTTAAGAGAATATAGATGACAATCAAAAAACTCATAATGATGATGATGATGATGATGATCAAACAAAGGTATCCCATTGAAATTTATTTTAAATTGCTAATTGCTTGTCAGTGAAATGTAATGTAATGCATTCACATTCTCTTAATTAAGATAGATGAAATTAAACAGACGGATGTATTGAAAAATTCGAGTGATTTATTGCGTAGTTTTCATAAATTGCATACTGAACAAACGACATGCTTCTATGGTGTGATGCAGTTTTTTATTTCAAAATGATTGGAACTTCCTTTTTCCAAAAAAAAACTCATTATTAAGCGCCTATCTTAAATGCAAAGCTTATCGGTGTGATTTTGGAATAGGACGAGAGATCAATTGTGTTGTGTATCATGTAGACTAATTGTTAATGAGCACAATTGCTGGAAACTAGAAGCGTAATTTAATCTAAACAATAGGTAAAGTAGTGTTTAATTTCCCTGTATCTTTACCCTACTATTCTCATGTCGTTTTATTCTCTACTTCCAGTCACATCATCATCATCATGTTTAACCAATTGTTGTTTTTCCCCTTTTTATTGATTTTTTTCACACTGAACTAATATAACATATGACCAATAATACCAATATACACATTTAAGTCATCATAATTGTTTCCCTGTCTAGTTGTCACTCTTATTTGTATCATCAGTCAGTCAGTTACAACGTAGCACTCGGTACGTAAGTACATCAGTTCAGGTTGCCATATCACATTAACGCGACTGTCAGTTCAAACCCCATAGTGGCAAAGATGGTAGGGGTATTAGCGGTTATGGAGAAGATTATTCAAGAAGTATAATCCAGTAAGATAACTCATGTATGAAGTTCTACGTTGTAATTAACTGACTGACTGAGAAAGATAGAGATGATGAGGAATTCAGGTTAGAGAGTGGATGAACTTGCGCCATTGTAAACGATTTTGAGCCATGTCGTTCAAGGTCTCTAACCATCGACTACTTTCGCCTCGCAGGCCCCAACCAGGTAACCTATATATACCAACATGACTTAGTCCACTTGTCAGTGACTTTATGGATTTCTTTATATCATAACACCAATTAAGTTTAAAATTGTCTTCTGTTAATTAGTTAAAACTCTGACCGTTTATTTGAACACTTCAAACAATAATAGATAAAGAATAATTTTTACAAAAGAATTTCTTTCCACAAAAATTATCAGAACGATAAAATAATGTAGTGTTTTAATCTGCGCGAACTTCATGCTGAAATAATTTTTTCTTAAGAATTTATGGTCTATGGTGATTAGAAGTGTGAATCGACATTTTAAATCCTTTAATAACCTAACTCAGTGTAATGATTATCACACATCATAGCCCATTTGATTTACTCACAATATTCTCTTTACTAATTCTCTAGTAGTAGAACGTATGGGTATGTTTAGACAAGAAACAATATGTAAGAAAAATTTCACAAAACCTTGTTCAGAGTAAAAGTAATGATGTGATGAGAAAAGTGCAATAATAATCTCTGTTTAGTAAAATATATCTAATTATTAATCGCTATTGTAAAAAATAATTTTCAATACTTTTTTGATTTACCGTAAATATTTGTTTGAATTAAACATAAAAATAGCAAATCATTATGATCAAAATATTTGAATTCTACTATTGTTGGTAATTATAATTCCATTTCGACCTGTCTTTATTTGGATCTGTTCATATTATGTATGAGTTCCAATGTGTAAGCACCAAAACTGAGAAACAAATACATTCAACTAACGAATATCAAATAAAATAACGCACATATCAAGGATTCCACTGTCAACCACAAACCAACATTCAAAATACAAAGTTGTCTACTTGATTACGGCTAATAAGCTATGCAACTTTAGCATTTGAATGTATAGAACACTTCAAATCGCGAATACAAAATGCAGAAGAAACATTGAGAGCGTTTACCCCAGTAAATATACAAATGTATAGAAAAACCATGGATACTTATAGCTTTTGGTAAAGACTAAAAACATCATTGTAACCGTCCAATCGGCAAACAGAGACATTAATCAATTGTCCAATCACTGTACGCTACGTCAATATTCTAGGCATTCTATCGAGCTGTGATTTGATGAAGTCTCATCGGCTTTCTGAGAACCTCTGGAGGTTTCATCGCAACCCAACATAAAATTAAAACCTTATGTTTATTTTCACTTTACCACTTTACAAATCAACATCTTGAAACATACAAAAATTGGTGTATAAATTGTTTATTTAACCGGAGTTAGACGGATCGCTCTTTTACAACAATTTGCTACTCTCAGAATCAAATCCGAATCCAACATATTTTGATCTGAAGTATAGAGGAGAGTTCACTTTTAAACTCAATAAAAAAAACTTCCAGTTACTGAAATGCACTCACAGATACGTAATAAGAGTAACAGTTAATATTCTATATATTTAGTTACCTTGGGTTTTGTCCCAGAACGAACATCACTTATTTGGGAGAGTTCAAGCTGCTGACTATCCTGTAAATAAGAAACAACAAGATGAAAATAGGAACTAATTGAAATATCTATTTAAAAATTCAAACTAGGAGAAAGAAGTGACCAATCTCCTGACTTCATTAATATCCTTTTTTATTTTAATCTTTTTCGCTGATTTATAAAGTTTCAACTATGAAACAGTTTTCTAAATGTAAGGGTATTTTCATTTTTTTTATCCACTATTAAGTTTAATCTCAGTAACAAGTGTTTACAAACAGAAATATGCATTACGGGGTTGTGAGGATTGTTAAGTTACACATTTTTGAAACCATGTACCGATCAATGTTAAACCACCATTAGAAACCTGGAAGCACTGGACTGCCGTTTCGTCCTGGTATGGGACTCCACAGGCGTTCGCGCACAATGCCGAAGGTCCTGGGTTCGAATCCTGCGGGGTGCAGGAGTCGTGAATGCGCACTACTGAGGAGTCCCATACCAGGACGAAACGGCCGTCCAGTGCTTGTGGGTTTCTAATGGTGGTCTAACATTGATCGATACATGGTTTCAAAAACAGAAATATGTGAGTCAGTAAAACATGCGAAACTAAGAAGCTAACCCATATGTACAGCGGTTCAAGTTACCACAGTACATAAACATGGAGTGATAACAGTGTCAGTTATTGTACAACGCATTAGGCACTTTATCATAAAATCATCATCAAGACAGAATTCTGTTAAACTCTATTTTATCGTCCAGAGATTTTTGGACGTCGCATTATTTTCACAGTTTAAATCACAAACTGAGCTTAACTGGACCACCATTGAAAATCTGGAGATACTGGACAAACGTTTCGTTCTAGTATGAGACTTCTCTAAATTGTACTGGACTGGTAGAAGTCTTGCAACAAAACTGTTGGATGCTAGCTCAGTACTCTATAGGTTAAGTGTTTGCACATAAGATCGAAGGTCCTGAGTTCGATTACCACGTAAGGGGTCGTAGATACACACCCTTAAGGAGTTCCATACTAAAACAAAATGGCCGCTAAGAGCAATCAGGATTTCAATGGTGGTTTAGTTAAAAATCAGTTTGTGACCTTAAACGTAAGAAAAACTCTGACAAAATATTCACACAATAAAAAGTTCTCCAATACCATCTGATTATATCTATACAATCAAATTACGACATTTTCAAGCTCCCTTTATGACCCAAATCGATTATATCAAATAAAACGGAAAAAAAGAAAAGGTGACAGTAAACAATTCATTTTGTGTATAGTTTGAAAAATATTACATTTCAACATTTGAATAACCAATAATTATTTAATATAAATTAGAATAAAATTTTGATATTCTTCCGAAGAGATTAATTAATAAGCTTACATTGTTTTCACTTTGCCAGTAAATAAAAAAGCCATCTTTATCTACTCGAACAAAACAGTTTGGTTCTAAAATTCCAGTTTCCTAAATAATAAACAGAAAATAAAAAAAAGAAACGTGCTAGTGATTCAGACAACTATAAGTTCAAATTGATTTAATAAATAAAATATATTTAAGAAAGAAAGAAGAGTCATACGTTACAAAAAAAAAATTTGTCTGTTTTTACAGCTCACATACAAATTCCTTTCATTGGATTATGTGTGTGTTTATATTAACAGAGCTTTGACTGAGTCATTTGAAGTACATAAGATATGCAAAAGAATTTTGATGAAAAAAAAAAAAATTGTCATTGAATACATTAATTTCAGCTAATTAGATTTTTTTTGTTTTAAAAGTTGACCATTAATTTACATCAACTAACTACTACTACATTGAGACAAGCAGGAAGTTCATATGACCTCAGTTGAAACTAATTGAGTTCACTGTTAGTTAAAAATGAAAACATGAACATCAACATCAACATCTTGTTTAGAACTAAATTATGAAAACGGTTAGTAGATAGGAACAGGATTTTTGTCCAGTACCATATGAACTAAAAAATAATGGGTAGAATCAGTGGATCCTCAATCAGTCACTTATTCATTATCCTGCACAAAACTTCAAGAATTAGATTTCCACAGCTGTTTAGTTCACAGCTTTTCAGCAAAAAAAAAGAAATAGACATGACTGTAGTTATCAGCTACAAAGATAAGTAAATAACGTACAGGACACTCAAAGTTATTTACACAACTCTTTCAAGTTGGCAAAAGTTAACCACAAAATCTGAAAAAAAACAATGCAATAAACGGAAATCAATTATACTAGGTATAGTTTTCAATCACTGACTACATTTTGATTCTGTTTCGCAGCTCAAAAACAACGTAATTTCTATACCAAAACCAGCTTTTTTCAACTAAATGGATGAAACTCCCAGAATCATCTACCTGAGCTAGAAATCTTCTCTACCATCTCAAAGCTTTCTCCCGTTTGGAGCGAACTTTGAGGCGTTCATTTCACTAACATTCAAACAAGAGAGAATTTTCAAGAGGCCGCATCTGTTATTATCTGATCTATGATTGCTAACACAGAATACAGAGATAAAAAAATTCATGATAGCAATTAGAAACAGTAGGTAGAAGAAAGAGAACCAATAACCGAATCTATAGCACCCTTTAGGTTAGCCACTGAACTGATACTTCGCAGTTTCATTTGCTTGAAAAAATCATATCATCCTGGGCCGGGAACTTAAACAAGGATACAAGTCTAAGTGATCAATAACTAACCACTGTGCTATACACAGAACGACCAATAGTTCCTGTTTATGGTTAACGGATAACCATTTATCCAACCATAGAATGTTATTTTAGAGACTGCGGGAAATCGTACAGACAGTAATTCCATGTTATTCTTCAGTCATTTTGTTTACTTTGCGCAAGTAAAGTGATTATTGTAGTAACCATAATTGTGTAGCTTTAAGACTCAACCTTTCAAAAAAGGCACACGACACCATCACTACGAATCCTAACATGATGCCAAATATATGAGAAGCTCAGGATGAGGATTTTGAAGATGATTCATTGATTGATGATAAAAGTGCTGTGAAACCAGGTTCAGAAGACTTTAAGGTACAGCTGCTCTGACCTGTTTCGGACTTCTCACAGTTGCTGCAATCTACTTTGTAGATGATGTTTAGTTTGTTGATTGAGGGTCTGCACCGAATATACTGGTGTGAAAAGTTTTTACGAAGACATAATTGTTTTATTCTGGAAGCTTAATTCTTGACAAAGTTCTCCCATTTTCGCACAACGAGAAACATGTTACGTTGTATGATTTTAGGATGATGGAGAATGTTTGTCGCTAAAGATAGAATAAAGCCGTTGCTCTACCAATATTTAAGCGGATATTAGCTGCCTCGTAAAATTAAAGACAGATTCATTTATGTCAATGCATGTAAAGTTATGAACATCAGTTCGATTAGGAAAATGTCTAAGTAATGAACATAGGAAATACAAAAGACCAACGTTTTTAGAAGCTTGACACTGAGATCAACAACAATTCGATTTGCCATACCATATTATCACAGAGACGATGGAATTGTCAATTCAAATCCCATAGTAGTACAGGTAGTAGGAATGCTGGAGGTGAGGGTTAGAAGATATTATTCAAGAAGTATAATCCACTGAAATAAATTTTAAAAATGAGGAATTAAGAATCTTAATATTTCAGGGAAGACAAAGAAAGGATTCACGTGCGCCATAGCAAAAGATTTTGAGCCATGTCATTCAAAGTCTCTGACCATCGGTTACGGTTGTCTGGCGGACTCCAACCAGACAGTCTACGCTTACCAACATGACTCAGTCCACTTATCGGTGACTTCATGGATTTGTACCATATGTGGGTTTGGCACAACAATTGCATCTATGACTAAACCTTGACATAAACATTTTCTTTTGGAGCGACTTATATGTTCTGTTAATTGATTCACTAAGTTCCTCAATTTCCAGTAACCAAAGCATAAGAAAAAGATACCTTTAATTTCAAAATCAACTGTAACTTTTTTTAACAAAACATCAAAACGTCAGTTGTGCTACTGACAGAACGGCGATTACTGCTCCTGATTCAATTCCTCTGATGTGTTTATATCACTTGCTCAAGATAAATCATAAATTATAATCTCATACCGTTTGAATTCATACGTGATACATTTTTCAACTATTACTATTCACATAGAATTACTGAAGTCTAAGCTATTGTAAAGAAACTGAAAACGTACTAGAAGTGCGAAGTTTTGTGAAATCTATACGCTTTCAAAGTACTGTCGAATCTTATGGATTGTATTATTTGGATGATCTGTTAAACTTTGCACCGTGTACTATTACACATTACTGTGTACGATGAGATCTAATGTATTCCAAGTGCAGGATTTCTTCAAACTCTTTTTTATTGTCCGATAACTATGAGCTACAGTACTTAAACTGAATAACAAAACCAGATTAGCGATGATGTAGTTTAAAGAGGAAACAATTAGGACGCAGTTGGTAACAATACAAATCACAATAACACATTCGCATACTATCTTTTCATAAGTCCAGGTTAGAGATCATCTCAGAAGACCAAAAGATAATCATAATTTATAACACTGTAGACGTGCTCCTTATTTCGTTAGAGCTACTAGCCCAGTAGAGAACCAAATGGCTAATGGTTCATTAAAAACTCCCATACTTTAACATACGAAGCACTGAGGCCTTAATTTCGACCATATTAATGTTCTCTAGAAAATTATGATATCTATGATTTCGATGTGAAATTCTCTCTAGTGGCTATTTCTTAAGCCTGACAGTTGATATTAAAATAAAGTATTTACTTCTGAGCTTCAACATACTGTGCTATTGAATAACAAGCTACTAAAAAGGTTAAGAAAACCTTTTCTGGGCTTAAATTACCTATACACTAAGAGCTAATAATTTTGTTTAAAAGATAGAATTACTACCATAATAAGGTTACACTCAGATATATACTAGTAAAGCTTTATATGATAACCAAAACAACTAGATGCTGACTGGATTAGGATTAACTCTAAGAAGAGTTAAGTTCATAAAGCCACCGGTTTTGAATCTGATAGAATAGGAGAGTGAAAAACTCGTTGATAAATTCATCAAGATAACAATAATCAGTGGTGAAACGTATCTGGTGACTTGAAGGAAAACTGACCGTAGCGAAATAAATGCACCTATTTTTATTTTCTCCTACTATATTGAACACACATCCTGTTTGATACATTTGTACTGGTAGTTTGAATCTTCCCATTGATAGTCAGGACTGTAGATGATCAGTTTCATTTTGCACATGTGCAGCCTGTGAAGATCGCCTCGATATCTATCAGATCACAAACATTATAGGTAGAGATGGAAACTAGCTAGCAGTGGAATCTGGAACGCACGTTTCGTCCTACTTTAAACTCGACAGCTAGATATACCTGCATCTCAGAGTGAACATCAACCCTGGGATGCAGGGACATTCACCGCTTACAATACACCCTACTTGTTTTTAATATATATTTCGTTTTTTCTTGATACTACTGCAGTATGAAAACCTTAAACGCGGAATTCTACGTTGAAATTTTCGTGTTTGACTTAAAGGAAGTTCTAGGAAGCAGCATATACAAGAGTCACCGCAAGACAGCTTAAAATAATAACTGGCCTGTTAAAAAATTTAAATTCAGGGCTTTCATGCAGTAAGAAGAATTATTATAGCCACAGCTACTGATATTGTCATAAGGGACATTAATATTCTGAATAAAGCAAGTTATGAACAATTCATCCTAAAACATAAAAAATGTTTCAAATACCTCAAGTTAAATTTTGTAAGTAAATAAAACAAGGATTTGTATTTGAGACTAACCTCTCTACAGAGCACTAATCAATGTTGCCAGTTGCACTGCATAGCAATCACTAAGTAACTAGTGCTTTAAACCGATCTAGTTTTATTAAAATGGAAAACCAAATTTTGGTGTTGACATTGTCTACAGGATGGCAACAGATGGAGTGATTTGGCAGTCAAAACTGGTCTTTTTCCACTTTTAGTAACACCTCTTTTAATACAGAACGTCAGTTTTAAATTGGTCTAAGAAAAGGGTATGTGAGAACTAAGATAGTTTAGGATTCAAAGTACTGTGAATTAGGGGTCAAAGGATTCAATTTTAACAATTAGAAGTGTGTTTGAACCCCTCTCGAAAAACTTAGAGTATATAAATCGGATAGTATCATTATCCTTCACATAAGAAAAACTCAAAACCAAATACAAAAACACGGATCTTGTAAGTTCTATATCAAAATTACACCAGATGAAATTTGAATTAGATAATTACCTCGTCATATCGATCAAAATACTCCCCAGTCTGCAAAACTTCAGGAACTGGTCTCTTCCAAATAAATTCAAATACTTTAGCTGATGGAACAGTTCTCTGACGTTTAGCGATATCTGACGTCATTTATAGGTGCCTATCACGAATTTTGCACCAATCTGTAGATAATCCTGAATAAATAGTTGGGAAGAACTAAATTACTTATGGTCATAAAACTACCGAACACTAATAAATTATTTTGTCATAAAATTTAAAGACTCCAGCTGATAGAAAATGATAAGAAAGCTTTTAGATTCTAAGATTTTTAAACAATGCTTAAAAATTTCCCAGGTATGGCCGAGAGTTGGGAGAGTTTTCCCTCTCTCCCTCTCAAAATTCTCTCATATGGCCATGACTATATATTCACCACCAGAAAAGTCCTACTCGCTGCCTTTTCATGTGTGTTTTGTACGAAACCGAGAGGATAAAAAGAGAGTCTTCAGAGCCTTAACCAAGTTAGTGAGTATGAAAGATTCATTTAGAAGAGTTGGACAACCGTGACTCTAAACCAACGGTGCACAAAGGCTCCAGGATCCTGACGAAAGCATGGTGTATGAACTTATTATTGGTCACTGCATCTACTTACGTTGATCCACTCCCTTGCGGATGAGCCTTTTGGGTTAAAAGATTGGGGCGTGGCCCCTAAGAAGACCACCTCCTTCTGTCCGGGTATCCGGAAGTATCCAAGCCCACTCAAAAAACACAGTGATTTACGTGGCGCATAAATATTTAGCTATCCATTTGCATTAATGTATGTGTTGAAATAAAAATAAGTAATAAAAATTACAAGAATAGCCGATTCATCATCGGTGAACTCCATACTACAATTAACTATATGAAGCAAAGTATCAAATTAGAGGATTGATAGGTCACCACTGAGATCTATCAAGTATTGAAGTCAATCCTTTTACTATTCAGTCAGTCAGTTGTCATCATTATAGGACGGCCCAAATGTGTATAGATCAAAAATGCCTTACCTAACATCAGTACATAAATCATATGGAAATCGAATGACATTAAACACAACCTAATCCATTGGTGAGTTAAGCACGAAGTGCTAGTCATCAAACAATACGGCAAAATAAGATGAGTTCTGCATCTAAGATAATTTTTAATAGTACAAAAAATAACTTTACTTCTATGAGCGACGTTTAAAACAATCAAATAATAATTCAATGCATTTCTGAAGGAAGTTATTTGAACAAAATAGATTATAGTAAAACCGGTAACTGGTGAAATGCGTAAATAGTAAATCCAGAAGTCAAAGGAAGAAATTTAAAAACAGAAACCTCAATCCTTGTACTAATATCCTGATAAATGGTCAAGGGAAGACCAAGAGAGTAAGCTGTACGCAAATCAAACTCGGTTATCACACAATCCAAGGCTTACATAAAAACAAAACTTTACCTAGTAAGAATCATATAGCAACGACTTTATCTACCAAAAGTCACAATCATTCGATGTTGGACATGAGGTTTGTCAAATTCAGGTGGTTTACCACATTCCTTTTTGAAAAATTTAAACGAAGTTATTTACATTTCAAAAAGTTTGATGACAATTATAAAAAATCTATGATATCGAAAGCTTCATGAGTGCGACTTAGAGAAATTATTAGAAATTTAAACAAGTGGGCAAAAATGAATCTCTGACCATTGAATGAGTAAATAACTGGATAACTGTGTTTTGATAAGGTTGTTATCTTACCGAAATAAAGAGGTGTGTAGACTAGCCGTCCATATAAAACCTCATATGGCTAAGAATTCGAGGAAAATCAAGTAATACTACCACCCTCCTGGATGGATAATTACAGATGATACAGATTTGTGATTGGACAAGGCCTAGTGGCATCGGTGTTTATAAAGCATTGCTCATATATCCAAGGATCGTCGAATAGGCAATGAAGTTGTTAAAAAAAGAGCACTAGGTAAGGATGGCAAATCAATTGATGAGGTACTACATGTTCAATAGTTGAGATGGCTTAGTCAGTCAGTTAAAACTTGGAACTTCGTACGTATGTACATCAGTTCAAGTTGCTATACCACATAAACACACAGACGCAATTGTCACTTCAAATCCTATAGTAATGGAGGTATTAGAAGTATTAGCAGTATCCGGAGATTACTGCTCTCAGTTGAGACGGTTGGGTATTTTTTACGAATACCCAACTACCGATCGCCCATAAAAGTAATGTTTGGTGGTGTAGGAGTAAGTTGGAAGGAAGAAAAGGGCGACCAGACCAAAAATGGCACAAACCCATGAAGACTGACAAGTGGACTGATTCATGTTGGTAGATGTAAACCACATGTTTGGGGTTCGCGAGACAGTAGCAACCGACGGATGGAGCGGCGCAAATGCATCCATTGTCTCTGTTTTCTCAAATTCTAATCTGAATTCCTTGTCATCTTCATCTTTCTCTTTTTCAGTTCATTTTACTGGATCGTACTCATTCAATAACATCTTCAAAACATAATCTATCCGATTACTGCTCATACTTCTACTACTCCTACCACTATGAGGTCTGAATCGACAACCGCATCTATGTGCTAATATGGTGTGGCAACTTGAACTAATGTATGTACGTATAAAGTTCCACGTTGTTGCTAACCGACTGACTGACTGATAAACTATTGGATTGAGGAAACACAGTCACATTGTAAATATTGTGCCTACATAGTGACGCGGAATTTTCTTGATGAACATAGGCCCATCACAATTGAGACCAGATACATTTAATGATTATTTGTAACAGAATATATTTTAGTGCATTCATGGCTTTACACTTCAAACCATATATATCATAGCTGAGAAAGATCGAAATTGCTCCTGCATCTTTTTAAAAATCGTTGTAGATAACATTAAAACCTTTGACAAGGATCTTTTACAGATCTTTATTGGAGTCGGCTGACCAACAAATTACAAAATACTTAGGATATATTCAACCAAAAAACAAATCTTGGCATCATATCTCAAGGATGACACTTTAGAAGAGAAAGCATGAAGTCTACTAAGCCTCTGATGCTATACTTCTATCAAGAAACTAGGTCTTCACTATTATACATGATAAAGAGAAATGAACAATTGTCCCAGTATGCAATATCTTTTTCATAAACTAGGATAAACTAATCGATTTCTTTGCGCTCGATGGTTATTAGAGAAGAACTGATAATATCGGATATGATCCATGAAGTAAATTATTAGGAATAAATCATCGTCATGTGTTCCATTAAAACTGTTTCCGAAACAGGAACAGTAATTACCAAAGTAAATAACAATATTAGAAGCGGTATAACTTGACAGTAAAACTAGTCTTTGCAAATGCAACTCAATAAAATAAATCAGAATATTCCATTTCAACAGACAATCACCATTCAAAAAAAAGGTTTACGTGCAAATTGACACAACATGTTATAGCAAAAAAACAGCGAACTTACATCTGGTTGAGAACGGGCGCCAGAGTACAATGAAAAATTCTGTAGCACTTAGTCCTGCTAAACACGTGGTTCTATATTGAACCAATGTTTGACACTTCATCAAGACATGTCCAGTAATCTTTCTATTTATTCTTTCTAGAATATGAAAAAATATACCAAGTTTCATGATCACACATATTTCGCAAAGATATTTGAATTCACTGTCGAAAGATGTAAGACTGATGAACTATCACTAGGCTCTAGCTGAATCATTCAACAACCAGATTACTGAATTTCAAACAGATTTGTCCTCTCTATCAAGAGGAGGGACTAACACAGCACATGACTGCACCCCATGCACAGGCTCACACAATAGTGGTCTCCTCGATATGTCACTATTCTAATCTTAATTTCTTTTTAGGCAGTAATTCTACCACTCATCAGGACGGATGACTCATTTATTTATCACAAGAAAATAACCTAGATTTTTTAATAGCCGCAAAATGTTGCCGATTTGCAAGCTTGGAGATCACACCATTCCCCTTCATTGCTAGTAAACCCCAATATGACTAACGTTTTGAGAATAAAAAATTCAAGCATATACGACATGAAAATCTTATTAGATATCCAACTGACAAACTGACCTATTTCTGTATGAGCAACTGTAGTACGTGAGACTCCCGAGTACTACTTTATTCGGTGTCTCAGTTGATTTTTCTATATAAACATTGGTAACTAATGGTGAAATGCATTATCAAGCACCTCATGTAATTCGTAACTGTGTTACCCAATTTCTGAGAGGTGTAGTTATCGTATTTAAGTTATTTATGAAATGCTTCTCCAAGAACTGATTATAAAATTGAAACACCATTTACCGGTAAGTGTATGGTGAAGTGGGCTTTAGTGCTAGATATGTTTTGTATGTACTGAAGACTGATTTATCTTTCATAATACTGGTACATTTTGAGCTTCTGTTAAGGATAATAGCGATATTGTATATTATGTTGCGCTCAAAGCAATGTGGGCGAAACACTACTCCCAAAACCTGTCCAAACTTACAACTAGGGAAACCAGTTCAGAGATACAAACATGAATCAAAGACGTAGTTTACACAGAGAAGTAACAGCGATATCGTCGATAAGTTACATCCAGATATATTGTAAACAAACAAAGGGTTTTGTTTGGATAGGTCGAGGCCGCCATACTATAATAAATGCTAGCGACACACTCTACCCTACCTCCCCTCGTGTTATTTAACCCTCTTAAGCTTATGAAATGTTTCATCAATGCTCTAATCTAAACACTATTTTGCATGCCTTGTCGGAATGCATCGTCTCCATTAGTTCGACGTCTTGTGAAATCCAAACAGCTTAAGACTCTGTAAGGTGGGTTATATATCCATTTAGTATACTACACTCTTATCAGGTTAGCTAAACGTATAAGGCAGTGGTCAGCTAATAGATATCTGGAAACTGCAACAGGATATGGCTGATCAAAGAAATTGTGGTAAGATAATATTAAGATCAATGATTAAGGCAAGGTATAAGTAAGAAAGAAAAACTTTTGGATGCTAATGAACCGATCATACTAGAATTTTCAACAGTGATGCACAATAACTAGAAGGAATTCCCAATAATTCAGGACGGTTTGAGCTTTGCATGATAAACCAAAATTTATCATGATATGCAAGTTTATTGACATGTCTTTCAACTTGAAATCGAAAACGAAGGGAATGTGAAACCTTATCCTGGAAAAATATTGGACTGTTCTTCAATCGACGCTCCACAGAGGAAGACTGAGTCTCAACTGTAGTTAAAGTAAAGTTTTACCTCACGGTAATATTTACTGAAATGCATGATACCATTTATGCTCTGATTATATGTTAATTACCACGTTATCCTTCAGACAGGCTGTTAAGGTGACTCCAAATCCAGCCCATATTTACTTCTGACTTTCAGACAAGCCCAAAGCAAATCACCATGAACGGAACTCATCAGCAAAGCTAGTTAGTAAAGTTGGACCGACGGCGGCTCACTTGCTTGTTATTGAACCTGAAACTATTTGTTAATCTATAAGAAGTCAGTCTGTAGAACTAAATATCATTAAATGCTTACTGGCATAAAGCGGCAGCGTCCATACATTTACTAGACACCTCATTTATGATGCATAGAGAGAAAAGTGATGCACCCACCTGAGTTGTTCAGGTCAATGATGCGCCAAGAACATTTATTAGTATCAGATAAGGCTACAAGCTTCATGATGATGTTCCAAGATAACACAGTATATTCTAGACATAATTAGGGATGTTAAGGAAACATCAGAAGAAATATTATGACAAAGATCTCATGGAAAAAACTCATACACAGAAGAAAAAGTCTGTTTATAAACAGAAAATCTACCCGCCGAGACATTCACTAATCAGATAAAAGGAACAAATTCTGATAAAGTTACAAGGCCTAACGGAATCCATGTGTGAAGTCACAGACATCAAAGATGATTCTGAGCTACCTATAACAGCTCACTCTAATCGTCTGAGACCAATATGTTAAGTCTAAATTCGACGCTAGTTCGCTCTTGAACTGCGAACAACCGGTACACTCTCAATAATGGCTCAAATGAAAAACATGTTGGAAGAAAGCAAGGGGCGGTCAAACCTAAACATGGCAAAAATCCATGAAGTCACTGACGAGTGGACTGGGCCACGTTGGTAGGGGTGGCCTACCTGGTTAGGTCCTGAAGATGCCAGTAACCTATGGTTGAAGACCTTGAACGACATGGGAGGGTTGGACATGGGGTTGGCGACCCCATCACGTCAAAAACTGACTTGCCAAAAAAACGCTAACCAGAGAAAATAATTCAAACAATTTTAACTCTGCCCTCCGAGTTGGAAGAAGAATTATGACGTCGCGTGATGAAAGCTGAGTTCCCGCAGAAGTCACGGAGCCGATGCCTCTTCTGACAACCAGACCAACCATTTTTTTAGGTACATGGAACGTTCGTACATTATGGGATACTGGAAGACTATTTCAAGTTGCGGCAGAAATGAAAAGATACAACCTCGAGGTGCTTGGAATCGGTGAAACGCACTGGACACATGTAGGACAACTGAGATTTGCTTCAGGGGAACTGCTGTTATACTCTGGCCATGAAGAGGAAAATGCTTCACACACATAAGGAGTTTCACTGATGCTGTACAAACAAGCACAAAACGCACTGACAGGTTGGACCCAGGATCATTAAAGCATCCTTCAAAACAAAAAAGAGGACAATACAATGAACGTCATCCTATTTTATGCACCTACCAATGACTACAATGACGACGATAAAGATCAATTCTACCATAGGCTGCAGTAAACCATCAACAGATGCTCACCATAGGATTTGACGATTCTGATGGGAGACGTGAATGCCAAGGTTGGAATAGACAACACTGGATATGAAGTCATCATGGGACGACATGAACTGGGAGAAAGGAACGAAAACGGTGAGAGATTTGCAAACCTATGTGCCTTCAACAAACTGATCATCAGTGGCACAATATTCCCGCACAAACGTATACACAAGGCCACATGGATTGTAAATGAATTTTCTACTCCAACAGTTCACTCCGTTTCGAATAGGTGCAGTTTGGTACGCGCTGGCCCATATCAGTAATAAAAACACAATAATTCTGGGAGAAAACGGTCCAAACAATATTACACCTATTTCTAATTTACCGCGGTGGGTATCCGTTTCTGGAAGAATAAGTGCCTCCAGTCCATACTGTTGAAATATCAAATCCAAATATGGCTGTAGCCATATTAAATATCAAATTTAAACAATATATGTACAGTTCGGAAGCAAACATAAAAACTTCAATATAAGTACAAGGTATAGAAATAATAACAATAATAATAATAATAATAATAATTTATTCTCATATAACAAACATGTTACAAGAGACATGCCAATTTACAGGCAAGATCAAAATGTTAAGATTAACAACATATTTCTTTTAAAACGGTATACATTTACTGAAACATTTCACAAGATTCATTGTGTTCTTAAAGATGGAATGTTCAATGCGAAAAATTGGCGCAAGTTACGAAGGTTGCGTTACGACAATCATCTTATGGACTGAGAAACGATTGATGGTAGAGATAGGTTTGCATATAACTAGAATTGATGCGGTAAATGTACAAAGGTCTGGTTGATATTCATCAGCTAATGATTTTACATGTTCTTGGGTAGGGTAACCAAGTGTACTGCAAATATCCAGACTAATATATGAGGAGTGGAATAAGGTTCTGAAAAAGAGGAATAAAGAAGACGGGACGAGGAGCGGAACAGAAAATACGTTTATAGATAAAACAAAGGTATGTTTACTCAGACTTTTTTAATGTCATTACTGTACACCTGCACTTATGTAGGTTAATGAAGACAAATTATTGGTGAGATAACTATTGGGAAGTTAGTCGAAAGAATAGAGGAAATTCAGAAGTACCAAGTTGTTAGTAATAATGTTGATTTACAAAATATAATAAAGAGGCTCAGTGATATAATTTTTTGTTTTATATATTCTTTTATTTTTAACTCTGCAGCTCAAGAAATTATGAATGAGCTCTTTTTTAGTATAGTTATCCAGACCAGCTTGTAATAGGATTTCTCGGTAGGAAGTAAAAACCAGCGCTAGGTTACAGACATGGGTTGTAGACGAGGTTAACTAGGAAAAGTAACATCAATATCACTGATTTGTTACATCCTGCTATATCGTAAGGAGCCGTAAGCAAACAAAATGTTCTGCCACACAGACATGGGTAGATTGAGGTTATCGCCCCACCGTCATGAATGCTGGTCAGAAACTCCACCCTACAATGATAAAATCTCAAAATGGGATCAAATAGAGTTCCAAAATGTCAACACAAATATATATACATGGAGGGATTTTCCAAAAAACAAAACATTCAAATTACATTCTACAAGGATTTCACCGGACCACACTACTCAAAACCAAATTGACCATATCTATATCAACAAAAGGTTCAGAAGGACCATGGAAGATGTGCGAATCAAGGGAGGAGCTGATATAGCTTCAGATCACCACTTGCTGATCGCCAAAATGAAACTGAAACTAGAGAAGCACTGGACAACGGGGCAGGCAACATCACAGAAGTTCAATACGGCCTTTCAACTCAACGAATTCAAGATAGCTCTCACCAATAGGTTCCAGACCTTTCAGGATCTACTCAATGGAGAGTAGGCAACATTGAAGAACAATCGGAAAGGGATTAAGGAGGCAATCACTTCAACATGTCACGAAGTTCTGGGTCACAAGAAGTACCATCATAAGGAATGGATCTCTGTTGATACTCTTGAAAAAGTTGAACAAAGGATTAACAAGAAGGCAGCAGTGAATGTCAGCCGAACAAGAGCAGAGAAAGTTACCGCACAAGCTGCATACACAGAAGCAAACAGGGAAGTGAAGAAGAGCATCAAAGCTGACAAACGAAAATATGTGGAAGATCTAGCAATGACGGCGGAAAAGGCTGCAAGAGAAGGAAACATGAGACAATTGTACGAAACAACAAAGAAGCTCGCCGGGAATTATCGTAAACAAGAACGACCAGCGAAAAGCAAGGAAGGGAAAATAATCAGCAACACTGAAGAACAGCGGAATTGGTGGGTAGAGCACTTTAAGGAACTCTTGTATCGACCAGCTCCACTGAACACACCCAACAATGAGGCAGCATCCACGGACCTCGCAATTAATATTAGCGCATCATTATGGTCATCAGACAAATCAAGAGCGGCAAAACAGCAGGACCAGACAACATTCCAGTAGAGGCAATGAAAGCAGATGTAGAAGCAACTGCGAAAACATTTCACATCCTCTTCAAGAAGATTTGGGATGAGGAACAAGCACCATCAGATTGGAAAGAAGGATACCTGATCAAAATACCAAAGAAAGGCGATCTCAGCAAGTGTGAAAACTACAGAGGCATCACTCTTCTTTTAATACCAGGCAAAGTCTTCAACAGAGTATTATTAAACTGAATGAAGGACTTCGTAGACGCCCAAATACGAGACGTTGGAGGGAAGCACGATATCAACTGGACAGCTAGGACGCAGCTGGACGATCTGTACTTCGTAGATGATCTAGCTCTCCTATCGCACACGCAACAACAGATGCAAGAGGAGACAACCAGTGTAGCAGCAGTCTCTGCAGCAGCAGGTCTCAAGATACATAAAGGGTAAAGTAAAATTCTCCGATGCAACACAACATGCGTCAACCAAATCACCCTTGATGGAGAGGCCTTGGAGGACGTTAACACGTTTACATATCTTTTAGGATGGTTGTTGTCTTCCATGTTCCTACCAAATAACAACTACCTCTGGGTTCAAATTGCTGACTGATCATTGCTTTGAACTGAAGGTGTCATGGAAATTCAGAGTTTGACGACGCTACGTCCGTCACACATTTCTAACTGATAATACCGAACCCAATTGAACCAGAAGTCAGAAGTGCAAAAGATAGCAGGTAGATTCGAAGGACAGTTGGGATATCCAGAAGTATAGAATCTAAGTCTTCTAACTGATGTGAGACGGTGAGTAACTGGGAGTGCCTGATCGTGATCTAGAGCGGATCTGTAACCAAGCTTCCTCAACTAGGATATTTCCAGTGAGACTGATGAGGTCTGCATCAATGTCGAGAAGTACACGAAGCAATTATTCCCAAGATGTATATATTTTCGTATCGCAGTACCTCTATTAGTCGTTTTCTGCTTGTCTGACGATTGATCAAAGGTGAATTTCTCAGCAACTCATTGCGGAATTTACTCCAGTGGCAAATTTAGCCATATGATCGAGTTTACGCTAGACTTGTAAAAGAATGCAATCAGGATCTGACAAATACTGTACAATTAACAGTATACTAAACTCATTAGTGGTACACTGTACTGAGACAAAATAATGACATCTCACACAAAATGGCGCATTAAACAACAGTTATGTAATCAATGTTAACTAAAAGCTTTTCCTGAGATTAACACCATGAACAACGTTCACTCAGATACTAAATGTTCTTCTGCAAGGTTAACAAAGAGTTAAGAGGAAACCTAAATCCGATAGTGTTAATAAATAATGTTAGAGACATATAGTCTTACGTAGTATGGAGCAGAGTGATGTGAACTCCAGTAAAATCTTAATATCATAGGACGTGATCGATAAATTAGAAAATTGTATGGCCCAGATGAACTTTATCTAAATAGCAAAAGTAGAGCATCTATCAACTAATAATGCATTCACAATTTGTAAAACAAAGATTATAGAGTATAAATGAGGTTACCCAAATATAAAAAGGATACACCTTTTGCTCTGTGGTTACGAAAATGTCACTATGAGTCGCTTACAGCACTAAATATTTTGCTGCCTCTTCGGACTGACAACAAACGTACACGCTCACTACATATATGGGACATCCATTTCCACAACATTTTGTTTACGTGAAAGACTATCCGACTAGCATCTCTGTAAACTAGATTCAAAATGATAAGCCTCACGCACTGATAGTATTAACGTTTTTTCATCATTTGTATAAGCGTTAGCATGTCTCGAATACTGGTCTACTTTATATACACAAAAATATATAGCAGATAATAGCAGTCTATCACTTGAATCTGTTATATCATACCTCTTTAAAGATAGTTTGATGCAGTTTCAAGCATTGTAAAGCTAATGAATATCCCACCTAAGGATAGAACTCTTCAGTAGCAATCAATGTTGAAAAATAACTGCCGACTTCGCGACAGAAAACTAATTGCGGAGTTAACTAATTAAAACCTGGTATTTTACATATATGACTTTTCTGTTTATAGATGAATTAGGATATCACGTAGTTATCTAGGAATCTTCAAGTGCACAGTCTGAGAACTGAATGATGACAATATGTGCATTTTTGACGGACTAAATTGCGTTCTGAATAAACCATTGAGACAATGGAGTTGCAAACGTAAGAGAAATTCTGCAAAATTTGTTTACGATAACGTGTGTAAAACTGGAACTATGATACCATAGTTCCTAGATTGGGTTAAGCTAATTCAGTGTACAGACGACCTTGAGTGGAGTGAACAGTTCAAGAAGTGTTGCCTCATAAACTGCGCGATTTATCTTCATCAGGACAACTAGTAGGTTACATTGCTTGTGTTGATTCTATGCGTTGTCAAGACTGTTTAACGAAACTAGATCATGTCCTCTCTTACTCTCAATCTGAACTGTGTCACGTATGTTTGTAAACAGTAGAATGACGAAGCACTACATCATAGCTGTCATCATTTCTAGATAGAAACCTTAACCCTGATTCGAAAGGTTATGCTCAGAAAGGCAGCTTAACTTTTAGTAGATAACTCTGACTTATTTTGCAGTACAGCTGGTCTCATTAAGTGATGAAAACCCTACAGAACTCTGTGGGATGATAACTAAAATTTATCAAATCTGCGATTCCACCGATATTTTGTTACTTTTAACTGTTGATTGTTTTATATATAGGTAGCATTTTGTGACTGACCGATAAGTTATCTTGTATTTGTTTAATGATAGACATGCTTAATACGAGATCAGAAATTAAGCGTACTAGTCATCTCTCAATACAGATGATGCTACGTAGTTTTTATAAGCCGGTCTTCACATCTAATATCGGGTGGCACTTCTAGACTCTGTATAGACAGAAAAAATATTTCTTAATTGTCTATCTTTTCCACATAAGTCTTTGATATGTAACAAAGTGTTATGCCCTATTTACAAAAGGGATCAGAAACCTGTTACAGCGCCACCTTGTACTTCTCATTGTGAGTTTACAAGTTATGTGCTAGATGTTTATCACGTATCACTGAAATTCCTTTAAATTAAAACGAAACCAGACTTACACTCCTAACCACTTTTTTGCATTCTTCAAATTATGCATTTATCACCCCCAAAAATCTCTTTTATATATTTGAAGTTCTTAAGTCTCTATTTACCCAGTGTGCAACTATTTCTCAAATTCTTAACGCAAGCTGGAAATTCACTACCATGACAAAATTTCACGTCACAGTTGTTGGCTCGCTCAACGTTGATCTATCCATGTAGTGTCGAATAATTTACTGTGTAATATTCCTAGATTTACAAGCATTATTCCAAAGTTAGGAGAAACAGTGACTGGTTCGAGTTTTCTTCTTGGCTATGGAGGTAAAGGAGCGAATCAGTGTGTGGCTTCCAGAGTACTTGGATGTAACACTGCAATGATAGGGAAAGTTGGCGACGACTACTTTGGTGAGATGTTTATTCAGCACTTACAGCAACTTGGAGTAAACACTGGTAAGTAAGGTTTAATTGAAATATCAACGGCTATTCACACTACTTGCACAAAATTAATTCTCACCTCATACATTACGTAAGTGTTAATAAGCAACAAGTGTTCATGACAACTGCTCATAATGCAATTGCCACTAATTTCGAAAAATAGATAAAACAGGTTTTGATAACACTCCGAATCCGATTAGGAAGTAGGTTTCCACTAGTTGCTCTTACGCGCCTTTATCAGAACACTTCCAACTGTTTGTAATGCAAAATCACTCCCATACAACTGGCAATTTAGTTCCTATGATCCATGCATTGTCATATCGTATACTTCAAAATTAGTCGTAGTTTTTAAGATAGTATGCTATTTAACATAATTCTTACTTAAAACTAGATGGTATAACAAGATCATCAATAAATAGCACTGGAGTTGCGTCGATTACGGTTGAAGCAAGAACTGGTGAAAATCAAATTGTTATCGTCCCAGGTGCAAATATGCTTGTATCAGAAAATGACATTTCGCTTGCAGAGGAACTAACGCTCTTCAATACAAAAATAATAGTTTGCCAGTTTGAAGTAGGTTTCTTGCAATGATCTAATTGACTATTTAGTGAACCAAAAACCGTAACATGTCCTTTAAGCTTATTTAATAATTTTTTAATGGTACGAATATCCCAGTAAAATTATGTGATGAAATTAATATACATATAAAGCAGAAGTATCTGTTGCTGCAGGGACAACATAAATTTTCGCGTATATATGAATTAGCTGAACGTCGCATATGCACACCTCATTACTGCCCTAATAAATCCAAAGCTCTTATCCAATCTACTTTAAACACACGAAATGACTACCATCAAGTTTCAGAGAGTTACTTTCTCTCCCAAGTCCCTGAAGACCCCCATTCACTCGTGTAATACAAAACAATATTTTAATATTATTTTTTATTAGCGAAAGAATCATAGACATGTAGAATTCCCATACACATTTCTCTTCATATATGCTCAAGAGCGACTACTCATAGCTAATTCTAACTTAAGACACCTTCAACTCTATTAAACCATAAAAGTTTTAGTTCACATTTCATCGTCCTAACTTTTGATGATTCTACTGTAGTTCTTCATCATATTCACCCTTGGCAGTATTTTTAACTGAACTGTAACTTTTCTGAGATACTATCCTTGTTCATTTATTTACTGATTTTATTACCCTTTTTCCATTGATTTTCGTAGTCCATTCCCCGGGTTTCCTATGGTAACATAAGTCTTTGACGTTGAACAAATTAGTACTCGTATTAACTGTAGTATGGTGCATCAAAACTGACCCAAACAGAAATCCGACTGGATTCTTGCAAAAGCCTCTTCAGAATATTTGCGATCTGTATCGCCAGTCATTCCGTATTCTGTCCTAACAGAAATGTATCGTCCCACTTGCCGAATACTTTTATTTAAAGCAATTTACTAGCCAATCAATATTCAACCGACCTTTGTTGAAAGATCGCTTGTGTAATGTTACGGCTTTAGCGACGAATGCAAAACTGGCATATCCTGATATTAATCTCATTCGATCCCTGAATTTACTTCGATAAAACGTATATTTAAAATCTACAATACTCCATCAGGTTACTAGAACAAAAAAAACCTCCCACTCCCAGTAAAGCCTACCTTTTGTCTACTGTGCCGATCGTCAAATTTAGCAAACCTAGAATATATTGCATATAGTAACAATTCCCGTCAGCAACTGCCTTGTTATCGTCGTATAAACAGATATTCAACAGACTATATCTTCTTTCTATGTTGCATTGTTTCCAACTATATTTTTGAATTTTAATGAGAGTTTCTGTTATAGTGTTTGTTACATCACAAAACACTGAATTTCCAGACCTTGACGCACAAACATCACTTAACTTAATTATCAATCACTGACTGGTCAAATTATTTTGTTTTGATGTGTGATTTTAGATCAATACACCAGCAACGCTCCATAGTTTGAGGCTTGGTCGTGCTAAAGGTATAAAGACAATTTTGAATCCTGCACCTGCGCCAGTATCTTCTGGGAATTCCGGGAAGTTGAGGGATTACGAATTATTGGAAGATATTTTATCAAACTGTGATTTTGTATGTCCAAATGAGTCCGAATTTTGCTCCATAACTCGTTCGGACCCTGAATCACTGTTTTTGAAAGATGAAACGGATTCACTGAATATAGATGCTTTTATTCCTGGTCTTACCTATTTACTTGAAAAGAAGACCAAATGCCCCATAGTAACTTTAGGGAGTAAGGGAGTTATTGCAATTTTATCTGAACAAAATTTGGACAAAATATACGCTGAAGACACAAAAGAAGTGGCTCGTATTATTTTTGAAAATCAAGAGAAGTTAGTAGTACACTTCTCAGCTCCCAGTAAAATTGATGTAATTGATACAACAGTAAGTTAACCGTTTTCACATGCACTGTGTTTTACGACGAGCTTTTACTGTAAACTATCGATCCTAAAAATTATTGACCATTGCGAAAATCAATAATCCAAACTGATTCTGAATAAATACAACTTAAAAGTTAGTAATCGTAAATCGTCACCACTCTTAGTATTGCTTGGATGCAAACATTTTCCTAAATACGCTAGGCAATCCTACAGATTATTCGACATCAGTGAATTTTGCAGAAAACTCTATTCTGGTGCTTGGTATAAGCGTGCTTCAAGTTAAGTTGCTAAAGCCTTCTCAAGAAACTTACGGCTCGTAGTCAAATATGCATTTATATCTAAATACATGATTTCTCTGATTTAATTATCACAATATTTTTTTCAAGTGTATGCAGCATTGTGGTTTATATATAAGCGGAGGTAATACATTTTAGCTGCTCTCAGCCTATCATCAAGTCTACTAAACCTGAATTTAATACTGGTCTATTAACAACTTCAATCAGTCAGCAATAAATTTAAATAGGAAGTTGGAATCTACAGTAAACTCTAAGATTAAAGCGATGTCTCAAAATTGTTGAGTACTGAGCTTAAACACGTCGTAACATATAGAAATGCTTTGAAGCAGCTTTACATTTGTTAAGTGTCGTATTTCTAAAAAAGCATTTGCAAGCAAGAGAAGCTCTAGTTCCAGAAACAATTTTTCGGGATTAATAGAATAAGAGTGAATTATTTTAGTTTAAACCACTCAACGTGGCTATCTTTAATTAACGATTCCAGCGAACGTTACAACATAGAGCTACGAGCAATCTAATACATTTATTTGGAACAATCATCATTGGGAGACCTAATTATTGAAGTTGTTGCGTCACACAATACGGTAAAACTGTGGTATCTATCATGTTCTATACATTTGAAGGTTTAAGACCTAATGCATAATCATTTGGATTTGGATTTCTAGTGCCGTTTAATCGCTTGTGTATGACGTCCAGGTCACGCTTGATAAGAAAGGATCTATACATGTTTTTCACTTTGGACAGTTCCTATTGACAGCCAAATAAGATATCGAACTTTTAAGTATGCTATAAACATAAGTTTAGATAAATGACTAACCTCTTTGTGGCTTACATATCAGCAACAATAAGGAAATCTAAGTGCTTTAATGCTATTACTTACCACTCAACAGTACAAAAGGGTGTTAAACTATGTTCATTGATACGTAAAATTTTTCTAAAAAAACTTAATATATAATCCTTTTTTCGTAGGGAGCCGGAGACTGTTTTGTGGGTTCATTGGCTTACTTCGTAGCATGTCATGAGGACATTACTCTAGCTGAACAAATAAGACGGTCTGTTTGGGTCGCCAGTCAATCAGTTCGTAAGAAAGGCACACAATCTAGCTACCCAAAGCGTGATGAACTTCCTGATACACTTTTTGGATCAGGTATATTTCAGTGGCTATAATGAAAATATCTTGCTAAAATCAATAATTTTTTCTAAACATTTGCAATCCAAATTTTCAACGCTTGATATATGTTATGTCCCACATCAAGAAATATAAAAGGCGATTTACATTGAAATAAATATTATTCAGAATCACTATCACAACTGATTTTGCGCTTTTTCGATTGAGACATCTTATTTTCTGAAAATAAAGTGTAATAAATAGGGCAACTGTTAAGAGCTTTTTAAGGAAACCATTAAACTTAATTTTAATCTAAACAGTATTACTAGCATCATAATAATGTCAAGACCGATCAGTAGAAACATATGGGATGACATTTTACCTAAGTCAGATTCTGGAACATTTGTTAAATCTTGGTCACATGGGTTCACCAAAACTTTTTTAAATCATCCATGGTCAAAGAAACTGATTAAAAAAAAGTAGGACAAAACTCATTTCTTTCTTTCATACTATAATCTGTTGCTACTACTTCATTGTTTCTTTATGATCATTAATTATCTGTTATTAGAGCAACTGACCATTCAGTTCTCTATATTCACCTATTGAACAATTATATGTCGGCCATAGACTATCTCCATTTTAACATTTTTCACTAGCCGTCCGATCATTATACAACCTACTTTTGCCATTAAATATTTTCGAACAAATTGCGATGCGACACCACAATACTGTCTAATAACTTCTGTATATATTATCAACAAAAATAAATTTTGTTTGACAAATTTTTTAAAATTCTTTTTAGAAGTAACTAATTAGACTTTAGTGCCTGGAAACGTTTTGCTTTTTTTGAAAATATGATGTCTAGATATTAGTTTAAATACAGTGCGTACGAGTGTAATCGAACGAAACCAATTTTATAACATTGGCGGTTATTATTTAAACACATAATTATTGGTACGAATCTTTATGCGCCATACAAATCATTGGGTTTATATGGGCTAAGATACTTCCCGGGAAAGAAAACCGAGTCAGTGGGGCAACGTCAGATATAGTCCTGTGATAGTCATTTCCAACAATAGGCTCATATGCCATTTGTTCTCTGGATCCCATGTGACCACTGGCTTGGAATCAGAGGTCTCCCTTAGGTGGAGGATCCTTGAACTCATCGACCCAGTTAGAGCTCCAGACATGCGTTTTTTGCGGGAAGGCAGTAAATAGGACTCCCTGACAATGGCTATGTACGCGTGGTCATATGAGAGCATACCCAGCTAGATATATCACAAATAATTCAAAATTATGTATATTTCAACCCGATCGGGTTATGACGTCGTGTTTGTTAAATTTTAATTGTGAAAACTAAACAACAATCGAAATAACTCGATGTGTACGCTAAACAATCTTCTTACCCAAGTACTTGGGTGTTTTTAACACCTCATAGACTGACACATATCTACTCAACTTGCACGACCGAACTAAGTTGGTTTTTTTAATCTGGTGTGACTGTTGTATGAACTTTTCCCTTAATTGCTAGAAGTTTACACAAGCTCGTGATACAATCATTGATACAATGATGAGGCCTTGATCAACTTTCGACTAAGGCGATCGAAATGCATGGAGTAGTTCAGCTGACCTTAAGTTACTATTCAGATGTCTCTACTACCCAGTAATGGAATTCCAATAAATTAACTAGGCCTTGATAAAAGTCCTTCTAAATGGTTGTTCGAAATTACCAACTAAACCAAGATATTAGCTGGTTTAAGAGTCGGGCATACTCCCATTTCACTTGCTTACGCCTGTTACCCCCAATGGAGCACGGGCCGCCGAACAGGATTCTCCAACCTACTCTGTCTTAGACCTTTCTTCATAGTTCTATCCAATTGTTCATCATTCTTTTCATGTGTCTCCATTTCTCGGCGCAATGTGTTTTTTGGTCTATCTCCTTTCCTTTGGCCTGTCTTATGACATATCTGGGTGCTTTCCTTAATGTGTGTTGCACCCACACCCTGCGCTTTTTCCTAATTTCTTCCTCAGCTGGAATCTGGTTTGTTTTCTGCTACAGTAGGCTGTTTCTGATTGTGTTTGGCCAACGAATCTGAAGTATTTTGCGTATACAACTGGTAAAAAACACCTGCATCGTATGGATGATGGCTTTCGTGGTTTTTCAACTTTCCGTCCCATACAGTGGAACTGTCTTGACATTTGTATTGAAAATTCTGACTTTGATGTTTTTCGATAGTTGTTTTAAGTTTCGGATGTTCTACAATTCTAGAAATGCTGCTCTGGCTTTACCATCCGCGCCTTGACATCTGTATCAGTTCCGCCTTGTTTATCAATGCTGTTGCCCAGATATGAAGGTTTCAACATCATTCAAAGCTTCTCTGCCAAGTATGATTTAATTGGTGCATGTTGTGTTGTATCGGTAGATTTTGTTTTTTCCCTTGTGCATGTTGAAACCTACTGCTGTAGAAGCTGCTGCTACACTGGTCTTCTCCTGCATTTGTTGTTTCGTGTGGGTCAGAAGGTCTAGATCATCTGCGAAGGCCAAATCATCAAGCTGTCCACTGTATCCCGTGCTTTCCCTCACATGTTGATGTCTTCATAATCCAGTCGACTAAAAGAAGAAAAAGGGTGAGAGTAAGTAATGTTGCCTGACACCGATCTTCACCTCGAACGAGTCTGTCAGTCGTCCTCCACTAAGATTTCGCAATTTAATCCATCATAATAATTCTTTATGACGTTGACTATCTTTTCAGGCACGCCGTAGTGTTGTCCTGTCCACTTTCTGGTAGTCAATAAAGTTGAGTTAGAGTGGTGTGTTCCACTCAATTGATTGTTCCACAATGATCCGTAATGTTGCCATTCGGTCAGTACACGATCGATCCTTGCGAAATCCAGCATTTAAGAAGTCCTTAATTCTATTTAACAATACCCTGTTGAACACTTTCCCTGGTATTAAGAGAAGAGTGATGCTTCTGTAGTTCTCACGCCTGCTTATATTGCCTTTCTTTGGTATCTTGATCAGGTGTCCGTCTTTCCAGATTGTTGGTACTTGTTCTTCATTTTGAATCTTGCTAAAGAGAATGCGGGGTATCTATGCGGTTGCCGCTACGCCTGGTTTGAGTGCCTTTGCTGGAATGCTTTCTGGTTCCGCTGCTTTGCCGCTCTTGATCTCTTTGATGGCCATGCTGATCTCCTCGACTGTTGATGGGCCAACATTGATTGAGAGATCCGTGGGTGGGTTCACTGGGGCTCATTGATTCAAGAGTTCTTAAAAGTGCTCTACTCACCTGTTTCGCTGTTCTTTAGTGTCGGTGATTACTTTTCCTTCCTTGGTTTTCACTGGTCGTTCTGGTTTACGATATTTTACAGCAAGTTTCTCCTTTGTAACATACAATCGTCTCATGTTTCTTTCCCTTGCAGCTTTTTCCGTGATGATTTCTAGATCTTCCACATATTTACGTTTGCCCGGCTTTGATGCTCCTCTTCACTTGCTTGTTTGCTTATGCCTTGGCTTTCAGTGTTCTTGTTTGGCTGATATACGTACTCCCATCTAATTGGCTTTAAGTGCTGATGAGGTAAATCTACACTTTTCAGAAGCCTATTTGGAAATGAGTCTTTCAAAAAAAATAAATCTTCACAGTTATCAATAAAGTGGTTAACATAAGACGGCTGAACGAGCTATGGGCTTTAAGCTTACTTCGGCCAATAGTCTTTTTATCACGTTTACGTTCAGCAAACCAGTCAACTCTCCTTTCCACACATGAGAGCGGTGCCGTCTCAGATCTCATACAAGTTGCTAACTCCTCAGCCTTGGATAGTTGACTTTGAGCAGCCCTCAACTCTCTCTCCTCAGCTTCCGCAGCCAAGATTTTCCCAATAATCGGTTCCAAGCGAGTAATTTTGGACTGATAAGTAGCAATAACATCTAGTAAATATCCAAAGAAGACAAAACACAGTCAAAATTCCCCAAGCATTTACAAGTATGAAACTAAAGTTAACAAATAGTGAATCTAAAACTTTTAAGACATATTACGGTATTCATTTTTAGGATAGACCAAAAAGTATGACGTCCTAAAGTTTTGTTAGGACAATATATGGGACGGTTTGGGGACAACAACGCAATTCTGTGTAGTCCCTAGTAACTTCATTTGATAATAATATGGACGATGTGGAAATGATAACACTGAATAGCGAAACGTTACATTAAATCGTTTTATCATTTGTATATTTTCTGTGACCTTCAAATTATACAGATACATTATTTTCGATAATACTCTGTAAGTAATTAATTATTCAAGAATGGGACAAAACTAATTAGTAATTGAATACAATTTTTCTCTTTAACAAATCAAGAATTAACGTAGCAGAATAACATGAATTTCGATTGTTTCGTGGTTCCTCGTCAAGTGCTTACAACCTAATCATAATAATACTAAGCATAATAAACAGACTTTATATCATATAATCGGAAAAGTTCTTATCATTGAAGATTAACGCAGAAAACAATAAATATGAAAGGACTGTAAAAGATGACATATACGTGCTAAATAGTGTGAACATTTTTAGGTTGAGTATAAAAATATTCTAGAATAAACAAGAACATGAAGACAATTATTTAGAGACAAGGTGCTATTATCGTAGTTGTGTAATTACTAAAACAAAATTGACTGAGTGCAGATCACATAAAAAGTGATCAATAATTATTAGTCAGAGAACGAAGAGGTCACAATGACAAAGCAACACTGATAACTGTCTCTCCTGTAATTCATATATCTGGTTCAAATCTTATGGCAATCACTTCAGCGAACAGTACTGAATTCAAAGTTCTTTGATTATTTATAATCTTGAAAGACCTTGAGAGGTCACAACACGGCTTATTGTCCAGCGAACGAATTGCAGTCGCACTGCCGAAAATATGTTTACATAGTCTAATCTTCCATGGAATATGCTCAGAGATGCGTACACTAATCCTCTTCTCTGTTCTCTCTATGTATTTGCTTTGGCATGTACATGTAGATACAAATGATAATAACAATGCAGGTATTGGTCCACAAATGACTGTCTTGAAGAGAAATTTGTTGGATACACAAAAGTCAGTTTGGCAGCTGGATACGTACTCCGTACTAAGATCTCTAATCAGAGTTCAATCTTTATTTCTATTTCACAAACTTTGAAGCCGAATCTTAGTAAAACAGGCTTCTCAACCACAGAATACTCCATTTTCTTTGATTTGACTTGAACAGTAGTTAGAGCTTACGGTGAACTGTCATCCGAAATGATCATATAGAGCAGTGTCTGTTAGCGTTGTCCACTTTCACTATAATTACTTAACTTTATCATTGACATTTCTACTGTATGGTGAGGAAACTTGGGGAACTACCAAAGCCATTATCTAGAAGAAACAGGTATTAAGCAACAGTTGTTTACGAAAAATACTTCGGATCCGTTTGCTAGACACCATCAGCAACAACTTACTTTGGGAGAGAACAAACCAGATTCCAGTGGATGAGGAAATCAAGAAAAAGTGGTGGAAGTGGATAGCACACACACTTCGAAAAGCACCCAACTGCGTCACAAGACAGACCCTCACATGGGAGCCTCACGGTAAAAGGGAAAGAGGAAGGCTAAGAAATAAATAAAGATATGGGAAGAATAAACAAAAACCGTACAGAACTGAAAAGGGAAGCCCAGGACAGAGAAGTTGGAGAACACTGGTTGGCGCCCTATGCTCTAAGTAAGTAAGTAACTTGGATCATGACAACCGATACTAAGACGTGTTAGTTAAACAAGTTTATTAATAATGAAACAACGATTAGTAAAACTAACCTGGTGCTATAACTCGTGCTTTAACCGGATAAGGTGCTTCTTTCATAATTTCTTTCATTACTTTGCGATCATCCTCACCCACTAAAGATACTGCTCTTCAAATGAAATTATCAAGTGGAGTAAATTAAAAATTACAATATAATCGAAACAATTATAACTCGTAGCATTTCAAAATCTTATACTAACTGGTAATGATAGTTTAAATAAAACAGACTCTTGTATTTATACAGAAACCTTGTAACAATGAAAGCGAACACTTTCCACCCTTATCCTAACGCGAAATCGTCATTTAAAAGCTGATTCATTTAGTCTAGTAAATAAATTCTTTCACTCGCTTGCTTTTCACACAAGATGTGAACATTTTCCACACAGACAACGGTAACATAGCATTGATGCACCTTAGACCCTTAACACAACCAAATCTTAACTCTTAGTTTACAACAGCTCTTACTAAACTTCGGTGAAAGTTCTTATGTTCATTTAAAAAATATAAAATGAAATATCTCCTTACTCTATTCATCTTTTTACCTAAAAAATATGAAACGACGTCTTCTGATATAGCTAAGTGACACAATGTTTACGTTTCAGCCATTTAGAAGTTGATTTAACTTTTATATTGGCATTTCTTTTTCTCAGTTATTACCATATTGAAAATCATTTTTGAAAGTTTGCAAGTTTTAATGTAAGGAATACTGATAAGGTGTAAATGTCCCCATAATAAGAACAAACGAAGACTGATTAGCTTGTCGTATCAATGAAATGACTCAACAATAATTCAACAAGTCATGATACGTATCATAAAAAGTAAATCGCTGAAACCTAGATACTGATTCGAGTTATAAGAATATGACACTTCAGCAATTACCTATAAACGTCCAGAAAGTGTACGTAAAGTTAAGTGATTTGCTGGTTTTAGTGACGTTGGTTAACAGTATACAGAAATCAAGAAAAAAAACATTACAGTTACTGAGAAAGTAATGGTTTATAAACATGAACTCACCGACCAATGTTCATAATTCTAGCAGTACGACCAACTCTGTGTACATACTGCTTCATAGTTGGAGGTAAAGTATAATTTATAACCTTAAGAAAAAGAATATTTATTGTTAGGCTAATAGCAACATAAAAGTTTTACTGTGATAGCTAAGCTATAAGTAAAATTCTCCAGACAGTAATTACCTTATGAATAATGTGTCGAAAATGATTCTTTAATCGATAATATTTCTAATTTCCAAGTAATCAAATGTATTGTTTTATTAGTATCGATGTACGAACAACCATCAGGAAATCAGTATACATAATATTATCACAAAAGTGCTTCCATCATTTTCACGTAAGCAGATAAGAAAATTAAACGAAATAGAGTATCACTCTTATTATCAGTATATAAATAAAGTGAGAAACGTTTGCACATGTTTACTTTATACACCCCCAAAATAATAGTGACAAATACATAGTTTCATCACACGAATAATCCATATCTACCGGTTACTTATTCATCACAAGAAAACTCAGGAAACAACACATGTAAACTAGAACAATGTGAGAATCCGAACTAGCACAGACAGCGGAGATTAACTGATCGGAACGAAAAAGGATGAGAATAATATCACCTCTCGCAAAAAACAGAAAATAATAGTTTGTTGATTTCACTAACCATTAATGTAATCTTGATTATTCTTTGAAGAAAGTGAAAACCGAAAAATTAATCAAAAGCTGTTACCGTTTGCCTTTAAAAACTCAGAGTTTAGTAGTCCATTTACCGTCATTTATTATGAAGTCATATAGCGTGCACTAAAAGTAACTGTAGAGTAACAGGATTTGCCCTTTAGTTTAGCTTATTGCTTGCGTCTTACAACTGCTAAGTTAATCGATTAAATTTCAAATGTCAAGCACAATGAGGATATAGTAGAACGTATGTTCCGTTACAAATTTCAGACATTTGAAGTAATCACCCTTGATCAAACGATGGACATTTATAGCGTTTGCCAAAACGTAATTAACTAAAGTAGTCAGAAATGACACGAACATAATGATTTTTGGCACATAAGAAACATCAATTTTACTTAGCAATATCATCATACAAAACACTAATTAGGCTATCATTTGAATAAAAGTGTCACGATGATATAGTTTTTGATATAAAATCAATGGGTTGGTTAAGCTGGAATATTGGAGTTTTGTACAAACTAACATCCAAGCGTTTTACTCTAAACGTATCAAAGTATTTGATGCACAATAAAAAAAATGAAATAACTAAGGCATAATAAAAACTTACTGTCTGTACATTGGGAATATCCAGACCTCTTGATGCTAAATCAGTTGCCAAAAGAATATCAACAGGCTGTGTATCATGATTGTTAATTTGAGAAACCTGATCAATTGCGCTTTTGGTTTTACATTCATCGATTGCATCGACGTTGGAGAAACGCTTTAAAGCCTCCAACCGCTGTGCTTGTGTCATATTACCATGTAACTCAGTACACGAAAGCCCAAGTAAACCTAACATAATATGCATTTTGTGACAATCCTTCTTAGTCGGTAGAAAAACTATAGTCCGTTTACGAAAATGGCGCATCAGTAAAGCTGTAACGATAGCTCGTCGATCATTCTCTCTGTGTGGACGGATGCGGACAAATTCTTGATGCAAACATTGGGCTACGGCAGTTGCCTGATTGAGAAATATTTGCACTGGGTCGCGAAGTGAAAGTATAGCAAGTTCTTTGACCTGATGCAAAAATAACAGTGTTATGACATGAATAATCCAGTTTAACAATAAAAAAATACCATATGTATCACAGAAATTACACTCATTTAGAGTTACCCATGACCAATGTCATCAAGTTGCAGAATATAACATAAAAACTAGTCGATTTACACACACCCTTAGTAAACAACATTGTACTACTTATACTACTGTTGGATTTGAATTGATAGTTGCGTCTCTTTGCTAATGTGATATGGAAACTTGAACTGATGTACGTACGTACGAAGTTCTAAGCTGTAACTGACTGACTGACTGAAATGCATGTGAAGAGATTTTTTCAGCGATCAACTGAATACACCCAATATGACCCCTAGATATGATGATGCTAACGCATCCATCTATTACACTCTTCATAGTCCGATGGCAACAAAGCAGACCACACCCGAAACAATATTTTACAGGGGGAGAGGAATTGCCTCCCAAAATGTTTATATTGTTACTTATGGAATTCAGATTTCATTGTATCAACAACTGCACCAAACAAAATATTTTCTGGGTGCGTTATCTTAGTAGTAAGTAATATTTATCTAAGAATCTAATAAAAGCAATACAAATGAGATTTACTGAGGTTGAGGTCAAGGAGTGTGAATAGTAACTCGAGAAGAGTAGGTTAATTAGTTTGTTCAAAAGCTAGGACAAGCCGTATAGGCTCGACATATTGGTGCACGCTACAAGCTACATGGAATTCGAAATTCACTTAAAAAATCACCCGTGGATTACCACAAAAATAATTCTACAACTTACACTTTCCGTCATAGTAGCAGAAAACAACAAGGTCTGGCGTTTTGTGCTGCAGAACTTAATAATTTCTCCTATTTGTTCTGTAAAGTATTCGTCTAAAAGCCTTACAAAAAAAGCGATTAATAAAAGACTTACTTGTCAGCTTCATCCAATACAAGGTATTCAATATGTTGTAAATTAAAACTGGGAGCATTCGAAAGGTGATCGATTAGACGTCCTGGTGTAGCAATTACCAAATCTGGATTTAATCTCAAGGAAGCCTCTTGTGAGTGCAAATCAAGTCCTCCTATTTGTTCAAGGATATAGTTTATAATGAAGAAACTTACCGGCTGCCAACTGGATCCTGAGCTTTGGACAATATTTAACCAGTTTTTCAGCAACAGTGAAAATTTGCACAGCTAGCTCCCTAGTCGGACTGATCACAAGTGCTCGAGTAACTGCGTGATTAAAATCAGTTGGTTTTTTTGTTAGCCTCTCCAAAATAGGCAACAAAAAGGCTAACGTCTTACCAGACCCAGTCCTGGCACAAGCACATATGTCATGGTGAAGTAAAGCTACGGGGATGCATGCGCACTGAATGGGAGTTGGTTTATCTAAAGACATTTCAGTAAGTGACTAATAATGAAGACAATTTATTCTGTGCTTACTTTAAGTAATGGCTTAGCTAAATTGAGTTCTATGAATGATGAAACCTGCTTGTATTTTGTAACAGCACGAGCAAAATTAAATTTTTCTGACTTTTAACAAATGGTAAACAAAGACAGGTTTACCTCATCTTTTTTCTTGTGAACACGATTACTTTTATCTCGAACAACGTCTAAAATCTTAGTGAAAATATGATAACACATTTACCTGTAAACCGAGTAGTGGAACTTTCATCTTCCAAAACTCCTGGTGGAACAGCATCGCTGTAAACGTCAACGCGTTCATCGGGGTGTATATCTTTGCGGTAGGTCTCTATGAGAGTATCAACTAATCGATTGATTGATACATGGGTAGACGATATATTCGGAGCATCCACGGTAGGTGCAATATCCTGGAATGCCATTTAGTTGACAAAAATGGACAGACTTACGGGCGTATCGAATGAAAACTTTGGATTAAATATCATCTGAACAGAAATAAAATGTACGGGTGGCTGCTGTTAGAAGCCTGAAAAAATCAAAAAATCAATAGTACTGATTCAAAATTCAAAACCAATTATAAATTCTTATGCGAAATGTATTTGCTCGGCGCATTATGATAACAATGAAACGATAAGTTAAGCTATTACTTAACCAAGTATACGGAGAAAACATTTTGATGTCTTACATACTGAGTAAAGTGGTTGAATAATAACTAGATGTGAAACTAAACAGAGCTACTGTGTCAAATCAAAATTCTGAATATATCAAGAGATATCATTAGGAATATGATTCGTTTTGAGATACGATAACATCTGATTTCTCTTCATTCTCCCAATACACAGCCACAACTTAAAGAAATACTGAAATCAAACCTCTGTCCATCAAGAAACATTACAGAGCCGAAACCTGGGAACCATAGCAACATAGTGAGATTTTAGACGATTACAAGAATAGTAGTCAAAAATTACTTTGTGAACTGGTTAGTAAATTTATTCTACGTACTATAATTGGTTAACTCTTTGAAATGATATTCTGATTGCATAGTTAGGGAGATACATCAGACCTAATAAAATGTCGATTGACGAAATCGAAAAATATACAAAAGGCCTGTCTGCTACTTGCAAAGTTTGCAGAACTTGTATAAACTTCGTAGTATTCCATAGTCGTTTACAAGAGCACCATGAGTATCAATTTGACTTGTGCTATTCTAAAACTAAATGACATAATCATTACAGACGGGGAATATGCATAAACCGTGAATGATCGTAAATACGTATTATCAAAGAAGTACTGGCATCTTGTTAAACTACTGAATAAATATTGAAGATAGATTCAGCCTTAAATCAAGATGGCAAGAAATTTAGAAACACTGGGAATTTTTAGTGGCTGGTAGCTTCAAACGGATGTCTTCTTACTTGCTTTTTCCCAATACCAGATAGCTTGCCAATCTTTGCTTATTTCTCTGAACCCCGTTTCGTTTCTACCACCAAATATGCCGGTGTAGTGAAGAATTTGTTGGTCTCCATATGGCTACGCGTTTATGTTTTTTAGGGAAAGTCCCCTTAGTTATTGGTTGGTACTCGAACAATGTTGAGAAGTGAGACATATAGTGTTGTTTCGAAATGCAATGTAAGGCTGGAAGGGAAATGAGACGTAGCTGCTTTTTTGAAGTGGTGGTCAGATTTGCCTATCGTGATAACGCAACCAAGCTACATTGGCTAGATATGTACCATGCCAGCAGATCGATAGGAGAGCGTTAAGATTAAGAGTATTACATCAAGGTCTGGGAGCAAAATCATACTGCTGACTGTAGTGTTGTGACAGCAGTAAGGTGTTTCCCCTGGACAACCTGAATCTGCAGCAATAATACCTAATAACAGAAAGAAGGGGTTAAAAAAGATCGACCCTGAAAATATCACACCTTACCTTACCTTACGGACTTCCATCTCCGGCGATTAGGTCTTTAGAAGGGCAGAGCTAAAGCTTCAAACGCTTTCCATAAGGCCGCGCGTGACCTGCCTTAACCAGCTGTCCCTTGAACTCTGTGATTACGCCCCAAGGTCGCTCAGACCAACGTTAGTTTAACTTCCTTTTCAGGTTCCTCAAAAAGCACCCTTCTACGGTGTGGGCAACAAAGGAGTGATATCCACCCTCATACCCGTAAAAGCGACGAGATCAACTTGGTCACTATCGAATCTTTTCTACACCACTTAATAACTTTCATACCTCGACTAACCGTTTTTGCATTCGTTTATCACTTCGCACCGCTGATGAAAACGATACGAGTACATGAAACCCGACTCTAAACTACATGTTGGAACCTTTAATGTTCAGTTATTGTACTACATAGGACAACAGACTTCCTTTGCTAGGACTCTACAATATCGCGTCGTCGATGTATGCTGCGTCTCTGAGATGAGCACACAGTATCCAAATACAACCATTTATTTTACCTCACCTTGCCAAAATAAATAACTGTCACAATATACCCTCTGTGTATCTAGAGGCTCAACTCTTAGTACCCTTGCCTCACTGTAGGTATAGTATTGGGTCCAAAAGCATAACTAGCTCTTTAAGACTGGATCCTCGTGAGCAGTCGTTGGTGCGCTGTTTGACAAAAATGGAAGAGTCCGAACTCAGAAAGACAGGAACTTTTGCCGTTGCCTTTTCACTGTCTATGCCTACACTCCCAACGACTACAGCTCGGATGTAATAAAAAAGTAGTTTTAAGGGAAAATTTTCAACTTTCAAAAAGTTAGGCACTCTGATGTAGTAATAGGGGCAGGTGAATTTAATGCTCCAGTAGGTAGACTAAGCAAAACTAAAGAACAAGTAGATGGATCTTATGGTGTCACGATTCACCAAACAGGTAATAGCGACCATCTGCTAGGACCATGCTCAGGCGACCGCCTATTTATACATAAGGAACAACATCGATTACATGGCAACCCATAAAATCTACTCAATGATGGACCTAACCAGACTGCACCGCTGGCAGGCACCGATGGAGATGTTCAATAAGAAACTCGTTCTGGAGCACTTATTTGTAATAAAACTATGCTCTAGTACGAGAGTGTACTTGTCTGCTGGTCACTGGGCGTAATAAAGACGCAGCAAGGAATCCTCCTAGAGTTCTACTTAACGGTATATTTCAAGACCAACAGCAAAAACAGTTAAACAGCCAGTAGGTTGATATTTGCTAGCAATGGGCGGCGTTATATGACTAACAACGAAACTGCCACGCTATAATTCCCATAACACACAGCTTACCAGTCTTTAATATAAGAATATAGGTTACATAAATGAAACACATCACTAACCAAACAACCGAACTCAAACTCGTTTTATCATTTTACATGAATTTTGAAACCCATGCCCTCAAAATGATTTTAAGACAACGGAAGGACAATGCCACGTTTATTAAAAATATACTGATACTAGACGTCCGACGTTAATAATATGAAATATTACGGAAACCTATAATACATTAGACAACTAATTGAGCTACGAAATATTGGGACTTGCTAACACGCATATGGTTAGGGTCACTTTTGATAAAATTTATGAAATTCAAAGTATTGAAGTAAAGAACATATTACAGTGCAGAATAACATTTATTCATGACATTGGAAACAAACCTCAATCGGTGACGGTAGCGCGTTCAACTAATTACCGCTCTCCAAAACATAATTCATTATCCAATATATTTTCCATGAAATAGTATAAACCAATTGATTTCTTTGCTCTCATTTCTTGTTCTTTCTATATGGTTTCAGTGGTCTGATAGTGTCTAATGGATGAAAGTATAGCCACTCGACTGCCTGATTCCAGTCAGTTGTTTGTGAGTTTGGTTTGTGGTTTGAATAAGTACGGTTGTTTCAGGGCAGTAGGGTTTCTGAATACCAACAGCTATCAGGTCACCAGGCTAGAGATCAGTTAGTTCCACTTTGGAGAATAATAAAGCGAAAAGTCAGTAAGAAGAATATTCCAGAACTAAGTAAATAAATGGAAAAATAAGTTAATTAATTGATAGAGGATTGTGCGAGAGGTCCGAAGTGTAAGCAAGGGAGAGAAAACGAGTATAATTAGCCGGATCGATTAGGTTAGTGATCTGGCACTAATGACGATTAGCAAGTCTCAAGACATGCATGAAGCACAGCTGGTCCACCAGGGAGGTGATAATCCGTATGTAAGTCCACTTTTATCAAGTCGCTTCTCAAAGAAGTTCACTGATGGAGCCTTAGTCATCTCGACAACAAATTAATACCAGATAAGAAAGGCATATACAAAGGCAATACAAAGAAACTAAAAACCTTGGAGTTTTATCGGTCTCAGCGATGTAAATGTACGTAGTATTTTCAGGAGTGTTATAACTGAGATAATTCCTAGACATCTACATTTTCCTCTTGTAGAACACTCAAGATAACATGAGAACCTTACTAGAGAAGTCATATTTTTATCATATAACATACAATGTATGCAGGAATCTGAATCAAATCATATTCGTGCTGTACCACAGATGCAAATTCACTTCAATGCGTTCAGCGGATGACTGATCTTTCAACCTCTTCTGCAGAGTGCAAATGAAACCCGTGGATTCCTTCCCTTAATTTTACAGAAAAATTAGATGACATGTTATTATACCAACTCATATCTGAAAATTATGAGGTCTAATTCTGGTGTTTATCCAGCACTATTATTATTTCAATTCCGCTGTTTCAATTATAACACGCTACATTTTGGTTGTTTACTACAGCTGTATATACCTGTTATTTAGTTGCGTAAATATACACTGACGAACAACGTTACTGAAGTTCTTATTTAATTCATTGAGTACAAAGAAATATCAGAAATACAAATCAACATTCAATGAGCAGCTCAACAGCTACAGGCACATGGGACTGATTAAAGTAGTTTTATTAGTAGCATTCAACGGCGGCACCATGATTTCCTATTGGCGTGCAATTTGAGAAGTCCCTAAGATTACACATCGTTGTCTAAGTATTTTACAGTACTAAAATATTCTCCAAGCTGCTTATTGTACTGTTTTTAACGTCCTCCGACAATTAGTTACACCTTCTGATTCATTAGTATATACTGTCTCAACGTTTGACCCAAGTAGTTGCTCTTCAACTTAGAGCCACATGAATTTAAGAAAACGGTCAATTTACACTGACTCCTTGCACCACGTATCAAATGTGAAGTCGTATTTCCATTTCACAACTCCTGGAGCAAATCGTAGTAGCATTAACAGGAAAGTGAGGTTCTGTCAAAAGTATATTTTGCATGCATGGAGCTATCGAATATACCAGATGACTCGCGATTTTGGCTAACTTCTTAATTGTTGGTATCATTCAGTTAAATATATATCTTGGTGATGGACCGGTTTTTATCCAGTGTGGATTCAAATATGAATCTGTTCATCACTCAACATGCTTGAAGATCAAATTTTTCGAATATTTTGTCGATTCATTAAACACTACTAGTAATCAATGATATTTTTGACGTTTAAGTTATATTCACTGCCAGATGACGCTTCCACTGTTTGGATATCTTGCCAATAAACATCTCGATGGACCTCGTTTCGATGACTTACTAACTGCCTACGTAGTTGTTTCTGAAGCATATTCTTTGCATATTTATCACTAAGTTGAACTCTACAGGGTCTTTTTTCGTGACTTCTCTACATCTACCAAGATCCAGACAAAATTGTTCGCCATCAGGGCCTAAATATGCTCTCTAGTGGGTGGTGGCTACTCAGTGAGTGTCTCCAAAAATGGCGAGAAGATCTATCTGGGTTCACCATTGAGTTAATTGTTGGATTCCCCAAATCAAACAATATCTCGATTTCTGCTTAACGTTCTTTCATCTTAGCAATAAACTGTTGTCTCACCATTCTTACAATCATTGTCTGTTTGATTAAAAATACACTATAGGATTACCCAAGTGATACATATTTCTGTTTAGAATAAAACTCAGGATTAAAATCCACTTATACTATCGCAATATCTGGGCACACGGTTTTTGAAAGGATGATAAAATCCTTTCCACTGAACATATCTTTATCTCCACCGGAAGTATAATCAGAAGTGTGAATAAGAAGGACCAAGGTACATCAATGTTTATCCTTATATATTTCTGGTTAGATTTTTAAAGATGAGGAATGGCGTCTCAGCGATTATATTTGGTAATAAGCTGATATGAGAGGCGTAGATAATAAGAATGGAGGGAGTGTTAATAGGTGACGTTGTTATTTGATCATGAACATGCGAGCCTATAGTTCTCTTAGAGATATCAAGGTAGCGGGATCGCAATGCACGGAAAATAAAGAACCAAATGAATACCGATAGTAGTGAGGTTCGCCACCGGAACGTAAACTACTGTCAGTTGGAAAAACTTGCTGAAAGCGTTTTAGTGGTGATCGAGTCGAGATTGGCTATGATACCACTAAATACTAATTACTAAGCCGTCACGATCAATGCAAATAAATCCAGGGTAAAGAATAGATTTGAAGGAGAAAGTGGGCGACAAGTTATGAATGATGACAGCAACTCGAAAACAGAAAGTCACGCGTAAATGTCTTTGGTACATTTAAACAAAGGGAGTAAAATAGTGAATGTTTCAATTTCGCCAATTGCGCTTTCTTCGTAAACGTGAAATTCCTACAAAACAAAAACGTTTTACGACCTAGTTAGTCACTTTGCAGCTTAGGTGTGTTAAAATGGCTGATTCATTCAGTCTGTAATCCATTCATCTATTACTATACGTACGATGTGTAGCGAATCGAGACTACTTAACTTGAGATACCCATTAAGGCCAAATATCAAAAGGCAAGCTGTGATTAGAGAACGAGGTGCATTGATTGATGGTCCCATGATATCGAAAAGATATCAAGACAAGCGATTCGAAAACAGGTAATACCCTCGAAACAACCGAGCAACGTTAGCAAAACGTCGAGTAGGCAAGAAATGGTTTTTCTCACAGTTAAACAAAAAGAGTACAATCAAACAATTATTGTAACAGTTGTACACAATAATAAATGTTCCCATTCCATCAACTGCGTTCTCTTCGTAAAAGCCTTCCACTACAGATGATAACCGATTTGTTCGTCATAATTTACAGAACCGTCTAAGCAATAATTTACATACATCGTACTAGTTTGATTCTAAATATATTTTTGTCATCCTGATCAGATAAATCATTGTTTCTAATATTCTGAATCTTCCAGTATACATGAAAAAAATAGGAAGCTGAAATATATTGCTAATATAAAAAGAAGTATCAAAAATGTATCTTTACATTAGACTTGCTACATTTTCCAAGTTTAACAAGCTAATATACAAATTGGTGTGTCTGAAAGACTTTTTGTTATCCTTTATTTCAGCTCAACACTAATTTAAAAAATTACGAAAATGCACGAAAATGCATTACCTCAGGTTTTTCTTTGATGGCTGTCGTACACGGATAAAGTATAAAGTTAGCAGTAACTTAAGCAACCAGTTTTCTGACTATTAATATTAACAGTGTAATCGTATAATTATTAATTAACTAGACTAGCAAGTTTATATATTTCTTTCATCATTAGCTTTTGATTAACCCATAGTTTATTATCATACGATTTACTGTTACTTTCTCTTGCCAATTTATCAATCACAATCTCTCCTACTAAATGCCACTATTGCTTTACTCGTATAATGCTCTTAACTTACTTTTATTGGTACGATGTGGTCTGATTTTGTGTGTATTTCAACGAATGACTGAAATAAAGTAATCAATGTTGAACTGGTGGTCATTGGTCTTTGTTCTTTTGCTTCGGTTGGGGAAGTTAGTATTGGACCGTCATTCAAGCATAGAGTAGCAAGTCTTTCGTCCTTTTCGCATACTGGTTACTAAAATGTTGTCTGCGAATTGGAACACCTTCTTCCCATCTAATCATTAATACTAATTGCAGTATAATTAACCGTGTTAAAATTTTACAATAGCACTGATTCTGATTTCATTTACTTCGCAAAAGTACTGTTTTTGGTACTTCAGAATTGATTATTGTCTGAATAACCTATTTCTATTGTTAAAATAAAGTGGTTAAGTTATAAACTTTAATTTTTATAGTCACAAAAATTTGACAATAATTGATTTTATATTTATTAAACGTATTGTGCATAACATATATGGGCATTAAAGTACATTATTACTGAATTACTTATTCCGATACACAGCACCTTACTTACGGAGCCAGATGAATACATAGAAGTTTTCACTGACTTACTTTGTTAGTTTACTGTCTAATTGATTCCGTTTCAATTTAATTTTACCTCCATTTCATATGGATAAAATAATCATTACCATAGTAATGAAGTTGTCAGTTCGCTCTCTCCTTCTAAAGTATCAGTGTATTTCAACGATTAAAATAAATATTCCATCAAAATGTATTTACTTTGTTCGAACTACAGTTACGACTATCATCGTAATAATAAGTTCTTTTCAACTACTTTTTAATGAATTCATAGTAACCCCATTAGTTTTATTTGTAACGAAAAATAAATTTCTGAAAAATGTAGTTATAAATTAAAAAAGAATGTCAGTCGATGGGGAAATGATGTAAATTATCCACTCCACTAAAATTTAAGCTGGTATTTAGATGGACTATAATTTTACATAAATAATAAAGTCATTTAA